TATCGGCCTACACTTGAGCAACATCATGTCCCCGTTTAGGTAAAATATTTGGCAAACAAACCAATGTCATTATGGACCTCTCCAATTGCCACAGATTATAGTAAGTAGAAGCTGGCAGCCTGCCGCGCACAACAACAAGAACAGAAAGAAAGAAAGAAAAGAAAGCCTGCTGCCAACCCCACATAAAATGGGCCAATTGTGTGCGCACATGTTCTTCCACTTAGAGAGCCGCCAAAAAAAAAAAAAACGGCCAATCCTGCCCAGGCCTTGTACTAGCTTGAGGCTGTCAACGCATAATTGGCGCAATTCAATGGACGAGCTGTGAAAAATGAGACCAGGTTAAGGCAGAAACTGGGACGGGGATGGGGACGGGGACGGGACACACTTGGTGTGCGAATAAATAAATAAATGTGTCAGAGGGTCGGCTTTGGGCTTTAAGAGACGACACTCAATAAATAACAAATTTGATTTTGATGCGCCATTTGTTGTGGTCGTATTTTGGGCGCGTATGGGGGGTCAAAGGTTGTCGTTACATTTTTTGGGCCCCAAAGCCGAGCCAATTAAAAAGCTAATAAGCAGCCAAAGTTATGACAAGGACACAGTTGCAATTGCCAAATGTTTGGCTTAATTAGCCAGGCAAAGACCAAACCAGATGAACCAAAGCGAAACCAAATGCCAACGTTTGTAATTTAAAACTGTCAACGACAGGCAACGACTAGTCCTTGGTGCCCCAAACCCCTTCTGCCGCTCTCCATGTGCGGCACATGTCCAGACCGCCAGCTCAGGACTATAATTTATTAGCAACAGTCACCACATAGACTCGCTCAGCGCCACGCCCACTGCCACTGGCAGTGGCCCCTAGGCAAAGCTTGCGGCTAACACGAACCACGCACCACGCTCCACGCTCTACGCACCATGATAAATGGCATTTATATTGGGTTACAGAGTGTTTGGCCAGCGTTTTGTGCACACTAACGGCACAGTTTTGCATGCCATAATTATCAGAGTATAGCATTTCCCAGCTAAGTCATCATCAGCAGTCGAGTCCCTGCTCGGGCGACCGAAAAGAAATACATACACACATATATAAGCTGACAGTTGTAATTATTTGCCGTAATTTGACATTATTTATGCACATTTAATGCTAATTCTGTTAAATGTCTCCGCTCAAAGCACATTCAAAAAAAAAAGTAAAAATAAAACCAAGAGAACTGAAAGAGTTGACAGCTTGTGGCTAGCAAATGCAACGGAAGATTACATTTATTCATTCCAATTCGCTTGGCATTCGCTTTGCATAAATTACATTTTAGTTTTGTCTTTTGTAAATATGTAAACAATTATTTGAAAATCAGTTGGCACATGAAACCAGGCAACAATCTAGTTATTATTGACAATAGCATTTACAATATATTCTTATTTAAAATATATTTAAATGAAATTATGATTATAAGGTTGCAAGTCAATTTTAAGCCTTAACTCTTTTTAGTCCGATTTAAACCAATGATAATCCAGTATAAAAATAGGTAGCTCAGTTTTGAGCCTGCCTTGAATCGTTTTTTACTTAGCTGCCTCTGAGTTTGTTATTTGTGACAAGTTTCATGACTTTCTAAGCAGCCAAGCAACACAATGTTGTTTTGTATTTTAATGCAATTTCTTGTCACAATTGTTGTTTTGTTGCCGGGCAAACAGAAAGCCAACATGAGATGTATATCTAAAATTTTTATTTTTCTAAAGCTTCTTTTATCCTTTACTGGAAAGTGCAAATATTAAAAATTCAACGCTTGCTCAGTCACTTTGGTCCTGTGGTTAGCTGTTGATTTAACAGGCGGCAATGTTATTTACACACACAAGAAACACACACAAAGACGCATTCATGTGTTGTGCAATTCGGGCGCATAATGACACACACACATGCTTGGCGTGTAAAATCACAAAAACAAATTAGTTGCGTGTAATTTAATTTGAAATGCTCGCGCGTTTATCAAACAAAATGGAAAACTGTGAAATGGAGCAGCAGCAGCAGCAGCAGCAGCAGCTGAGGCAGCCACAGAAGGGGAAAAGAAAATGCTAATTGGATTTTGTTATAACATGTAAGGCAAGGTACCATCCTGGCTGCTCCTGCCAGCAGGCTGCCTCTACTCTTGCGCCTTTGCCGTGTGCGTGAGTGCCTTTGATGGGCAAGTTAATAAACATTAAACGCAATTATGTTGTTGATTTTTTTTTTGGGTGCCTCATTTTTGCCTGAGACGTTCGCCTTTTACTTCTCGTCGCCGCTGACGTTGATGTTGATGTTGATGTGCCAAAGACTAGTTGCATGCCATAATCTTTATTTTGTTAAGCCTTCATTTGCAATAATTTATTTAAAGTCTAGCTTAAAATGCCAACGACTAAGCTTTAAGGCAACTTTTGTTAATTTTTAGAATATTTTGTTAACAGTTTTCTGCGCTTGTCAAGAAAAGTTTTTGCTTTCAACATTGATCCGAGCGGCCTGCTAATCAATTTGATGAGCTGAACGAAAACCGAACCGAAATCCCGTGATGATTTCTTTTTTAGATATATACTTTTTTTTTGGTGGAAGAGGGGCGGGGGGCGGCATTATACGCAAGTATTTTGTTGCTGGCACTCACACAGTTGGCTAATTAATAGGATTAACTACCAAAAAGCAAACACAATTGGCTGCTGAGCAAACAATAACACAAAGCACTCAACTTTTTTTTGTGGGCTAAAAGGAAACGGGTAGAAAAGCGGAGGCGAAGGCGATGCGGATTTCAGTTTTGTCAGGCCACTCACCGAGGGTGGCAAGTCCTTCAGCAAACATCATTACGCACACACACACACACACACACACACACCAACACGGCACACACACCAGCACAGCACACATACAGAGTGAGAGCTGAGTTTCAGATGTCGGCACCTAACGCGCTTTAATGCAGGTGATTAATTGCTTTTGAGGTTCGTCGGCTGCGTGTTGGAAAATTTTCAAAATTTCATTAGCTTTGTGTGTGTGTTGGTGTGACTGAGTGTGTTTGTGTGTGAGTGTGTGTGTGTGTGTGTGTGTTTGTTGAACTTTTAGCCAAGTTTGCCAGAGAGGCCATCGGGCTTTGGTATGCTGTGAACACTGCGTGACTTTTGCAGACAATGCCAGCCCATTTCTAGTTGGCTTAGACGAGCTAATTAAGTTAAAGCTGCCGCCTGATTCTGCTCCTTTTCGCATATCCTGACAGTTGTGCAACCCCACCCGCCTCCCACCCTTGGTTCCATAGCCATGCTGCTAATGATGGCAGCAGCAGTGGCAGCTCCTGGCCCGCCCCCAAAGAGAACGTGCTTAAAATTGTTTTTGATTTACTTATTTCCGCCCTGATAAATTACATTTGCCGCCAACGACAAAGTTCAGGCCGCCATTTTTGGCTAATGCGCAAAGTTTTTGGCAACTTTGCTTGTAGTTTCCCATTTTTTATTTATTTTTTTTCTTTTTTTTTTTTGGCGGCTTGTCAGAAATGTTAAATAATTTATTCATATGTTACGTGGCTGACATATCGCACGTGGCGACATTTTGAGCAATTTTATTGTCTGCAGCCCGTTGCGCAGCTGAAATGCAAATTTAATTAGCTCTCGAGTCTATTAAAATGCCATTTACCATAAATACATATAAATCATATAGATGACAAAAGGACCAAAAGTGATTTAAAGCCAAGCTGAAATTTTGTATTTGTTCAAGCAGTTGGCAGCGGGAAAAATTGTGTTTCTTGAGAAACTCGCTTGCAAAGTGGGGCAGCATAGTTAATATCCTGTACTGGTAGATAGTGGCAAATGGGGTGTGCACAATTTTAAATCACGTATGTAACGGGCAAAGATAACTGGTGTTTATTACGCAATTAAATACATAGATATATATAAATTGATGTCTGTTAATTCTTGAAGTGCATCAAAATAAAAATACATAATACCATTGCCCAGAAGTAAACATGTAAATAATTTTATAATAATAATAATATAATATAATAATAATGCTTAATTTATATTTTAAATAAACAAAAACCTGAATTGCCATAAACAAGATGACTTTAAAAACGATTGAAGTAGCATTCTGTTTCAATACCTATCAAATAAACGCGTTGTAATTCTCAACAAGTTGAAGCTTTGAACTTCGTTAACATTAGCAACATCTGTTTTGTGTTCCTATATTTTTTGGTAATTATTCAAAGAAGTCCACATTGAACTTAAGTCAGCCCAGATAAAAGCAATTTTCAAACATATCTAGATACTACATATTGACGCACATTTACAGGGTATTTGCAAGTCGCCCACCTACGTTGACATTATTCATTCTTGTTATAATTTGTTTGCTCCAGTTGCGCAAATAATTTTGAAGCAGCAACTACATTTTGTTTGCTGACCGGGAAATTGTTATTTTAAAAATGCAAAATGTTGACAAGTGCGAAACTTTTTACTTACAGCTCAAATTAAAGTGAATTTTACGGGCTATATACAAACATATCAATATGTAGGAAAATATAATGCACTACCAACTGTAACGTTATTTATAGAGGCTGTGATAAAATATGATAATAAATAAGCTGAAATTTTTCTATAATATTATAGAACTTTTCATATAAATCAATAAATAAATAGACAGAATGTATAGCTAGACAATTATATGTTTTTCTTAGTCTTGTTATTGTGTTAATGTAATATGTATCTACATATGTACGCATGCAAAGTTCAAACAATTTCCAACTGAGCGAATGATATAGCGAGTATAAATTGGATAGCTTTCGAGTGTGAATGATCGCGAGAGAGGTACGTAAAAACGTTAGCATATTAGGTAACCGTTCATGTTGTTACGATTAATCGTACCTTGTCCCACACACACAAACACGATTTGCTAGCGGACTCTCGCACAAGCAAGCACTTGCCGGCAAACAGCTGAGCGCGATAACAAATAACGCTCTCGATATGTTTCAATAAATGTGCCGCTAATTGCGTCAGACGCTGCGCTCTTGCTTGATACATATTTGGCAGGGTCAGCGGCTAAGCGAATTCAGTGTGCGGCGAGCAGCTAACGCGGCGAGTTGCCGAAAAAAAAAACCTAATTGCCAAAGCCACGCAACGCGGGCAGCACAACACAACAAGAACAACAAACGAAACGCGTGTGAAACGAACAGCACGAGTGAAGCAAACAAGGCGTGCAAACGAGACGCAACACAAACAAAACAGCACTCGCGATGACGCCGCAGCTTAAAATATTTGCTAGCAATGCTGCTATTAAATGTTTAAAAACAACCACAAAACTTAACAGCTCTGTAACAGTAACGCAGCAAATGCAGCAGGTGTGTATATTGCAGCTGGACACAGCAATGCTCATAAATATAGAAACAATTTTCTGATAAGTAACAAGGTTGTAAATATAAACAAAAATATGTACATACATATGTATATCGACGGTTCGCTTGAGGAAAGAATGCAAAAAATGTTCATCTGTTTCGGTTTGGCGCTTATATGTTATTTGTATGTACATATAATTTGCGATAGCAGGGCAGATGTATGTCAACATACATACATACATACAAGTGTATATAAACGTAGAGAATGCAAAAAATTGGAGGTCAATAAACAAATATAAACATATGTATGTTTATTTTTTAAGAAAATACTATTTGTGAAAATTAAATGAAAATTAAAGAAAATACTAAGAAATGCTAATCCTAATACACTTTTGGGCAAAAACAACTTGTTTCGTCACAGTTGTGAAATTGATTATAATACAATCATAATAGAAAATTAGTGTTATAGAACTTTGGTTCGGATTAATTTGCAAAGATATGGTTTGGTTTGGGTTTATATATGGGGTTTGGTCCAAGGTGCAGTTAACATAGAACAAAAAAGTAGGAAAATCGCGCTTGAACCAGTTTTAAGCCAACTTTATGAGTTCAGATCGTATTATTTTATAACTCAACTGCCATAGAAATGATTCAATGATTCAAACATTAAGTTCTTGGTAACCTCTCAAGATATCTTGACTTAACTTAGCATAGATCTTATCATCATCCCCTCAGTTATATAAGTATTTGAATAATAAATAATACGAAATATAGATCAATTGCAAAAGCGTATGTTAGTCAATTGTTTCTTCTACTTTAATCTAATCTTGTTATAAATATATAATTATTAATTTTTATAAAGCGTCGCTACTCCGCAGCAGCAAATCCCACAAAAGCGGCGCCAGCAAAGCCGCTGAAGGAGATGCCGAGCGTGAATATGTTGAACATGATTTTGGGCTTTCTGCCAGGTGGCAAGTACAAAGGTGCAGATCTCAATGATATAACAAATGACATGCTGCAGGACGGTGACGGCAACATTGTCATGATAAAAGGCATGTTCGGCAAGCCGCCGCTAATATTAACACAAAATCCCGATGACTTCGAGACGGTGTTTCGTCACGAAGGTGTTTGGCCCTACCGCAAGGGCTTCGAACTCCTAAACTATCATCGCAATGTGCATCGTGTTGATTACTTTGGCGTGGAGTCGGGTCTGGTAACGTCGCAGGATAAGGCCTGGGCCAATATGCGTTCGGCCGTAAATCCAATTATAATACAACCCAAGAATGTCAAATTGTATTTGGGTCCGTTGGATAGCATTAACCAACAGTTTATAAAGCGGTAAGTAAAACAATAAACGAAAAATCGGTAGACTTTAAATCGATAACCAATAAATCGATGATCGATATAAATAAAATCAGTAATCTGTATAAACATAGATAGACGATAAGTGGATAGACAATAAATCGAAATATATAGAATAACGAAAAATAAAGAGACACTGAATCGATACGTAGACCAAAGATAGATCAATAAACGATAAATCGATAAATGATAAACCGATATATAGATTACCGCTTGAAGTCATGAAACGTTTATGGCCTAAACACTTTCGTTGCAGCATAAAACTCATACGCGATCCTGAAACTTTAGAGATGCCCGCTAATTTTAAAGATGAGATCAGCGCCTGGACACTGGAATCTATTGGCCGTGTTGCACTGGATAGACAACTGGGTCTTATAGAAGATACCAATCCCGAAGGACGTCGATTCTTTACGCTGTTGCAACGCTTCATTCAACTGGCTGTCGATTTGGAAATAAAGCCCTCACTTTGGCGTCAGTTCAAGACGCCCAAATTGCGTGAGGCCCTCCGCGTATTGGACGAGGGACTCGAGATAACAGACAAATACGTACAGGAGGCGGTGGAACGCATTGAGAAATCGACTGAGGTGAAAAGCGATGCAGAGAAAAGTGTGCTGGAAAAACTGTTGGGTATCAATCGTAAATATGCGGTTATTATGGCCCTGGACATGATGTTCGCCGGTGTCGATACGGTGCGTGGAACAGCTTCTTAAAAAACGAACTCAGCTAATATTTCTTTAATTTATAGACAACCAGCACCTTTGCGGCTATACTACTGGCGCTCGCCCAGCATCCCGATAAACAGCAAAAACTACGCACAGAAATTCTTGGAATTTTGCCAGCAAAGGATACGCCTCTTACGGTTGAGTCCATGAAGAATTTGCCCTATTTGCGTGCCTGCATTAAGGAGACGCTGCGCTTTTATCCACTGACCTCGGCCAATGTGCGCAGCACGCGGCAGGAACTGGTGCTCAGCGGTTACACAGTGCCACCGGGCAGTGAAATTGCCATGGTCCATTTGAATCTGTGGCGCAATGAGCAGCATTTCTCGCAGCCGGACCAGTTCATACCCGAGCGTTGGTTGCGTGAAAAGCAACACGACTCCATTGACTCGAATGGCTGTCCCATGGCCACCAAGTCCAGTCATCCCTTTGCCTATTTGCCATTTGGCTTTGGTTCACGCAGCTGCATAGGTCGTCGCATTGCTGAAATGGAGCTGGAAGTTGGTGTCGCTCGTTTGCTTAGAAACTTTCAAGTAGAGTTTCATCATCCGGCTGACAAGCCCTTCATTGCCTATCAGCTATCCACGCCACGCATTCCGCTGCAGTTCAAGTTGATCGATTTAAAGGACTGAGTTTGAGATTCAGTATTGCTTTTTTTATAAACCTGTATCTGTCGGAAGACAGATATATTGCATTGCACATTTGCGACAATCTTCAAAGTCTTCATCTTTCTAATAGGCCCGCAAATATAAAATATATTTAGTTTCTAGCTAAGAAGCTGATTAAATTCGGTGTCTGTTTTTTTTTTTTTTTTTTTTTGCTATTCAGCTACAAATTAATAAGCCTCGCACACACTCACTCATAGAAAGCCTTTATTCTGTTTAATTCATGCGTTTGCCCTTTGTCTGACTTGTGCCTGGGGTCAACGTAATTATAACTTTATGAGCGGCAAAGTTAGTTACATGCCCCAAAGGTGTTGCGAAATGCTCTAAAAAGTATGCAACACTTTCTTTCTATGCCAGGCATATGCATATTTGTGTGAGATGGTGTGTGTGTGTGTGTGTGTGTGTGTGTGTGTGTGTGTGTGTGTGTGTGTGTGTGTGTGTGTGTGTGTGTGTGTGTGTGTGTGTGTGTGTCTGTGTCTGCGTGTGTGAGCTGACTCTTTGTTGCGGTCAGATGGCCACAGAGCAGCGGGCGGCTCATCTGCTGCATGGCGCTGCCTTATGTATATATTTATATAGCATATGCAGCGAATGGCAGGGGCGTCACAGTTTGTGTGTCTGTGTGTGTGTGTGTGTGTGTGTGTGTGTGTGTGTGTGTGTGACTGCGTTCAAACGACAACATAAATCCAGCGCTGCTGTTGTCTTCCTGGATATTGTTTATTATACACACACCCAGACACAGCACACAGACACACGCGCCACTGCGCGGCAGCATATGCGGGCGCAAATAACGCATACGCCATGTGGCAGCACTATATAAATATAAATATAAATATTTTAATGCTGAAATGCAACATCAGCAACAGCATCAGCAATTAGTTGAGCTTCTGCCGCATTGTTAGCATGTCTTCAGCTTTAAATGCAATTTAATTACTCGCAAACTAAAGTCACTTTAATTTGATCGATTTGCCAGTTTATTGCTTTAAATATCGTTTTGATAAATCGTTGCGACTAGTGAAATAATTAAAAATGCACAAGACTTAAGTGCTGGACTAGTAAATGCCCTGTTACTAGCTCTAGAGTAGTCCAAAATATATTCACATACTTTGTGGATAAAGTTTTCTTATGAACTACTTTTTATAATCAATTAAAATATATTCAACATTTTCTTCTTATTATTTGGAAATTTTGAGTAATTTTCCCTTCTATTTAGGCACAACCTTTTGCCCTTAGGAGTAAGGTTTAAATATAATCATATTATTATATATGTGTTCAATAATGGAGTTTATATCCATCAGGTGGAAGGATCTGCCGAAGTAATCCGTCTCTGTGCCAACTTGTTGAACCAACAAAGCAGTTTTAATAGAAAATCGAACAGTTAACGAAAAGAAAAGAAAATGCATTAAACACTTCTCGACCCAATTTTTTTTGATAACAGGGTATAAAACTCAAACATAAAATCAAAATTTCTATATGTGTGCGGCTAAAATGGAAACGTCACGTTTGGCCCATTTAAAGCGCCAAATGGCAGTCGAACAAAAAATAAAATTCAATTTAGCACACAAAATAAACTCAAACAGCAGAAAGTGAAAGCGCGGCTGCTGCAACTTCAGTTTGTGCGCTGTTTGCACACATGTCGTATGCGTAATTTCAAATTAATTGATTTCTGGAGCAATTGCTTTTTGCGCTGCTGCTTAACAAACTTTTGCCAAAGCTTTTAAGGCAGCAAGCGCGCAATTTCTTCTTGTTTTTATTTTAACTGCCAGAGGGTATAAATGTTAAGTCAGGAATTTGGTAACAGCTAGCAGAGCGCGGGGTGAGAGGGTGTCAACAATTGATCAGCATTATTAGGTATGTTCATGTTAAGTTTACTTACCAGATTTTAAGCGGATATATATATTTATATAAAACTATGTACCTTGATATTAGAATTAGTTAATCACATCATTGTATATGTTATACAAAGATAATCTATCCCTTCTTAGTCGTAATTTGTGTCAACTAGTATGTGGTCGGTTATGTGATTTTTAATTAAATCGAAAAACCAAAGAGCTCGTTCAGAAATATTTAAAGGAAATCAGAGCACATCAATATATCAGAATATCCTTGCCTTTTATTAATCAAGAATGGAATTTACTTAAAGAGGTTCAGTTATAACAGCTCGATGATTTGTTTTGTATTATAAAATTTAATATTTGCAAGAGCATTTAAGCTTCGGCTAAGCAAAAATAATTGTTGCTGCTGGTTAATTTTTATTCACGTTTTTGCTCTCAGCTTAACTTTGACTGCGATTTGCTAAAGTGGTTTTTGAAAAATCCACGTTTACGTTAACCATCTTTTTTTCTTGTTCGTTTCCTCATTTGCCTTTTTGCAAATAAATGAGCAGCGTTCAACGCTGTGCTGATTAATGCAACTTGAGTGCCAGTTCGAGTATGAGTATGAATGTGTGTGTAAGTGTGTGTGTGTGTGTGTGTGTGTGTGTGTGTGTGTGTGTGTGTGTGTGTGTGTGTGTGTGTGTGTGTGTGTGTGTGTGTGTGTGTGTGTGTGTGTGTGTGTGTGTGTGTGTGTGTGTGAGTGTGAATGCGAGTGCTGGGTTTCATGTACAGTACAATTAATCAAACCGCAATTGAGTTTTACCCTCACGGCGGCAGCTTTGAAATTAATTTTCAGCTGCTTTTCAGCGTAAATTAAAAGTAGAAGAGACAGAGAGAGAGAGAGAAGAGAGAGAGTATGTGTGAGAGAGAAAAAAGAGATAGAGAGAGCGAGAGCGAGATGGAACGAAAAAAATATAGAGCAATAAGACAGCTGTCAAAATGTAGCTCAATGAATCCATCTATCGATAACTTAATCTCAATCTTGATTTTTTGGCATTTAACAAACTTAAAACTGATTGCCAAGTCTGGTCCCATGGCTAAATTTAATAAACTAAAACCATTTGCAGTTCACTGAACTGACAGTAAATAAATTTAACCTAATTCGTACATGTCAATAACAACAGGAACCAAGACAAGACAAGCTGCCGTTGTCCTGCCCTCTTTCTACTGCTTCTTTTCGTCCAGCACCAAGAAAAGCTGACTGAGTAGCAGCACTAACACACACACATACAATTTCACACACTCTCAAACGCACATAGATAGATGCTGAACAAACGTGCGGAGATTTTTGTACAATGGGTATAAAGTTTAAAAATTCTGGAAGATTTTTTGGCTTAACTTGCGCTCTCTTAATCAGCAAAGCCACGGCCAGTTTTATCCGTTCTTCTAGTCCTGCTTGTTCTTTTGCGACTTTCCAACACTAGAAAACCTATAAAAAGAGCTTTGGTACCTAATGAAAGATCTGTAGTACGTGTTAGATAATATTAAAGCTTTTTAATATTTCATATGAGGCTCAAAAACATACCAAAGACACAACGAAGCTACATGTTGTTAAATAAATTAAAACTTTAAATTCCTATCTTTGCTGAATTTAAACGTTCAGTTAGACTGCACGCATTGACGAAATAAAAGGGGTGTTATTTCCGAAAAGGTTGAACACTTAGTTACATATAAATGCATTTTAATGTTTTAAGACATACCAAGAGCGGCGTGCACTAGTATAAAAAGCATAAAAGAGTATAAAGAGCTTTAATATCACATCATATTAAAGCTGGCACTAAGCTTAAAGCTCAGCTTTTTACTTTCTTGAAAAGTAAGTAGTTAAACCTTTTTTAAGAATTAAGTGAAGTAAAAGAAAGAAAGTAAAACAAAATTATATAAGTTAAAGTCTAAATTCTAAAATATCTTATTAATTTAATAATCAAATTTATCCCATAAATTGTTTTAAATATTATTAAATTTCCAACTTAATTTTTATTTATGCAAACCTTAAAAGAAAATTTCCACAGTAATTTGCTGTTGTCTGTTATGAAGTGCAAAGTGTAAAGCAAAAGCCAAAGATGACGACCATTTCTTAGTGTTAGTATTTGTGTGTGTGTGTGTCTGTGTGTGTGTGTGTGTGTATGCTCGTTGACTGTGTGCGTATTTGGCATTTTGCGTTTTGTGCTATGGCACCACATGCTTCTGATGGGCTGCAGTTAATCCACTTAATGACCTCGATGATTTTATTGATGAGCACCTAACGCCAACGCCAACGCCAACGTCAATGCCAACATATGCCGCCTGATGATGAAGATGCTGGGCGCTCATATCGTTCCGGTTTACTTTCCACTCCATTCCATTCAATGCCATCATTTTTTTTCTTCTTTTTTTTTTGTGTATACCCTAGAGTAGGATAAAGTCAGTTTGTCGAAGAATGTCTTCACTTAGCTTCCAGACTCTGAGGGATTATGTTTTCTGATTAAAATGCAATGTAAGGCGATGCTATCGATAAGCTGTGATTGTTATTGTCGATAGTTTATTGCAATATCGATTGTACTGAACCGGACGGAAGCCTTTAAGTAGACTATATTTAAAAAAATAAAAAAACTTAAATCTCTATGAATCAGTTTTTATGTATGCTTAACTACTTTTGTTAGAATATTAAGAGCTACCGATATCATTATTGTTGCTAGCAATCAAATAACGAAATTAAAATATCGATAATTTCGCTTGGTTTAAACAGTTATTGAAATACGAACGAGTCTTACAGAAAGGGTATAGAAACAGCATCATATTGAATTTAGCAGCTGCTTAATTTTTTCTTCGTCTGGTGTTGTCAACGCTGCCTGTGCAGCGAGGCGTGGCACTGCCACTAAACGGTGTTGCCATCATCATCAGCATCAACATCATCATCATCAGCATCAGCATCAGCATCAACATCATCATCATCAACTGTGCCATGTTTGTTTCCTGTTGATTTTTCGGCGATGCCACGGAAACCTACTAAATTAGTGACAGCGACTTTGGCTTCCAGCTTGGATTCAGCATTTGATAAAATGGCAGCTTGTGGCGCTCGCTCCCCAAGTGTGAATCCTTGTGTATGTGTGTGTGTGTGTGTGTGTGTGTGTGTGTGTGTGTCTTGTGTCCTGTTTGTGTTATTTATGCGCGCGCATTAAAATACAATTTTTATGCTTGGCATTGCCAGACTTATCCTTTGACTCCCGCACTACACGCTACCCACATGCCCACATCCTGTCCCATTGCCATCA